ACAAGTGACTGCTGTGCCCTTCTACACTGGCACAGGGTGGCGAGGCTGTGCCAAGGGTAAGGCCATCTGGGCCCTGCTGGGCTGCTTCCTACAGCTGCATTGGCCACATGGAAGACTCTCCACAACCTTCTGTTCTCTCTGATGGCTCCAAGAACTCCACGTTACTAGTTGAGGTTCATGAGAATAACCCCAGCTCTGGAATTAGACAGACTTTGGTCAATTCCAGCTTATGCTGTTTACCTGTGATGTAACTTTGAACAAATTATTTAACCTCTTTGAGCCCTAGTTCCTTCATCTCTAAAATGAGAACATCACCATTTTCCCTCCTACATTTCTGTGCAAATTCAAAGAGAAGAAGCCACAAGCACAGTGCCTGGCACACACATTGCACCCGTGACCGCTGCTGACCAAAGCCATAGGCTTAGAGGTATGGTCACCCTAGGGCAGCTGGGAAGGATGCCATGTGCCCTCTACCGAGGCTGGGAGAAATCCTTGCTTCATTCCTCCTAAGGAGGCATCTTTTCTTTGGCTGACCTCACCAAGCTCCCACTCACTCCATGGTCCACTCCGTTTGGTCACCACTTAAGACTGGCTGAGGGGCACGCAGTGGGGAGGGGGATGGTTTCCTCGACGAGGATATGCTCAGAGACAGGCAGGTCCATCTCTACACCCCACTCCTTATTTTCTCTTCCTGTTTTAGGAATTCTGTATGTAACAGGGAGTTTTGTTGTGCCACAGGGCATTCGGAAAAGGTGATGCTGACCTGCTGTTGGTAGTTTTTATGATGCTCAAGTTGAACACTACCCTGTTTCAGGCTATGATGACACGCCAGGCACTGTTCTAGCACTTTACCCTACAGTGAAGGCATTCCGTTAGCCTCCTTTTATACATACAGACTACAGAGGCACAGAAAGGTTCAGTCACCACCCAAAGCCTAATAGCTGGGGACAGAGGCCCTGGATTCCAATATGGTTTTGTCTCTCAATCCTGAGCCCTTCACTGCCTGTTTATACTGCTTCTCTGCAGGGCTCTCTTGTCTTTAGGGCTAAATTTATCCAGACGCTTACATTACTTGAGGCTTGAAAGCACTGAAAATCCAGAGGCGAGCGCTGTGGAGACTGCTGTTTGGGACAGCACTCGTGATCTACACAGTCTACAAGGCCCTCTGTGGTCTGGCTCCCTGCTGCCTGGCTGGCCTCATCCCTGCCACACTCCCATGCCATCCTCTCTTTGCCGGTCATGCTGGGGCATACCAAATGCATTCCTGCCCCTGCACAAGCCACTGCTGCCTGGTACCTCTCCCTGCAGGCAGACCCAGCTGTCACATCACATGGTCTGTGCCCTATTTCCTCAGGTCCCTGTTGAGAAGGCACCTGATGAGGAGGAGGACAGGGACACGATCTGTTTGCCTACGCATTTCCGGAGCCTAGAACAGTGCCCAACACAAAGTAGGTACACAAGTGCTGAATGGATGCACATATGAATGCACAGCAAGGCCAGCAGGTGGCAGACTGCAAAAAGCTTGGGCCCTTTTATCACGTGGGTGCCTGAACAAGCTGCCTCTCTTCTGAGCCTGTCTCCTTGCCTTACTGTAAAGTGGACAATGCTACTCTTCCTTTCCAGAGATGCTGTGAGCTCCCAGGTCAGCCCCTGGCTCAGAGCAGCACCTGCTTGTGACTAATCATTGCAACATCGGAAGCATCAGGAGTCCCCAGCCACTTCTGCTGAGTGGGTAAGTGACTATCTGTTTTCTTGGCTAACCTCCTGAGACTACATGCCCCAAACCACATAAGCTACAGAAGGACGCTTCATGATGCTACAAGGCAAATATGAAGGGATTTCACTCACAGTGTGAGTTAAAGGTCATTCAAAAGAAATAATTACCAGTGTTTATCCACTGAGAGTTTCTCTATATACCACTTCACAGTAAAAAGAAAAGTATTATGTACAAACACCAGTATCTACCAAGAGACTGTACAGATAACCAGGAACCAGATAAGAGTTGGAACTGGATTCTTTACTAACTAATGGCAGAAAACTGGACTAAGAGTGCCAAGATTGCCCTTTACTAAAGAAACAAACTCAGTGTGTTTGAAAATCATCCTATGCCACTGCAAGGAATTGGTTCTTTGCCACAAGGTGGCATCCTCTTCTCCCTTCTAGCTTTTCCTGAGAGGTCCTCTGCAGCACAGCTGTGGTGGCCCCACCTGCATTCCATTAACTGTCTGTGCCTTCCACTTGCCCAGTTTACCAGACTGGACACACATGAAGGCAGGTCTGTGCTCCCACTGCCCTGGCATCTACCTTGGTACCAAGTGCAGGCAGCTGCTGTAGAGGGCAAAAATTCTGGACCACAAGAGTCACAACCTGGATTCTAGCCCATGCTTAATAGTTAACTGCATGATTTCAGGCAAATTATAGTATGAAGCTTGAGACTCAGCTTCCACATCTGAAAAATCAGGGGGACAACTCATAAGGTTCTTGTGAGGATTACATAAAAGAAAAGCTTCAGAGTACCTTGCAAGTCATAAAGGGTGTCCAGGCATGAGCTAACGCAGCAGCAGGCTTTTAATAAACAACGATACTAACAGTGAAGACTCAGACTTGCACGCTCCTTATGACCCAGCTGAAGCTCTAAGAAGGAGAAAGGCAGGGTCTTGGGAAGCTGTCTGTGACTACAGACCAGAAAAAAGCAAAGGCTCCACTCCTAAAGAGTCAAGCTGGCCAACCTGGCCTTCCATCCCATCAGCCACAGCCCATGCTGCCAGGGAGGGCCAGTGAGGCTTTCCAAGGACAGCACAGGTGGGTGCAGGGCATTGCGGCTGGTGAGAGAAGTCACTTGGCTCCACACTAACTACAAATTAGCTGAGGGGATGTGACAAACACGTGAACCCGTAAATAAGAGTTGAACTCCGACAAGAGATCCGCATAACCCTTTCAGTGCTCTGACAGGAGACTGTTACATAAACGTGGTAGCCGACAGAAACCCAGGAGACCACAATCTGGACAAGCTCAACTTCCTGAGCTAACACATTCCGGCTGCATCCTTAGTTCCTACTTCTCCCAAAATTTCAAGTCAGGATTTTTTAACAGCTCTGGGTGTCCACCTGGAAGGCTCACAGACTGCTCATTCAAAAAATACCCTAAACTAAAATCTTCCTCACCATATCAGCGCCCACTCCTGTCTCCCTCTCTACCCAGACTCCCAGAACTACTCACAGAAAGTAATTCAACTCCTCCTCTACAAAACCTCTCGGTCCTGTTTCCTTTTCTCTGTCCCCGCTATTACTGCCTTAGTCCAAGCCTTTAGCTTATGGCTCCCAAACTACTGCCAGAGCCTAAAACCCTGGTCAGTGCCCTTCGGTTTTTCAATTTCATTTTCACTCTGTTACTAGAATTGTTCTAAACAACATCTCACCCTGACAACTTCCAACTTGAAATCCTGTGAACGGCGTTCCCGTCCTGTGTGTTCAACACTACCTAACTTAGCCAAGCCCCCAAACCTTCTGACAAGCTCCTTTCCTGTCCGTCTCTCTGGCCTCAGCTATGACCCAGCTGAGCCATGGGGCCCTGTGCTTTCCCCTGGCTGTGACCTAGGAGCAGGCAGCTCTTTTCACAGGGGCAGCCAATCCTTCCTCCTCTGTGACTCAGTGGTGGCTTATCCATATCTTGCCCAAGGTCAGTGACGCTCTTATGTGTTTCCATGCCTTTCCCTCCATCAGGCTGTGGCTATTTCAGAGCAAGGTCCAATTCTCATTCCTCTCTGTGTCCCCCAGTGCATGACAAAATGCTACCCACACAGACACCTCTTAGTAAATGTTTCTTGGACTGATACTCACAGAAAAAAAAAAAGTATTAATAAATTAGAAATTGGAATGAAAAAATGAACTAAGAGAGGTCTCCTTACCTTCACACTCTGATGCAGGAAAGAGAGGAGAGTACAAGGCTTTTTCCCACCAGGTCTGTTTTTCTTGGCTTCTATTCATTCCTTGTATATCAGTGTTTAATACAGGGAACTGTTTAGATTAAACCAAATATAGAAAAAGTTTATAAACTTTCAGGTTAGAGTAAAAAAATTCAAGCATTATTAACTATGGATTATAAACCCAGGGTTTTTGAATTGGTGAGGTTTTTTGTTTTTTCTTTTTGAGATAGGGTCTGGCTCTGTCACCCAGGCTGAAGAGCAGTGGCACGATCTCAGCTCACTGCAACCTCCACCTCCAGGGCTCAAGTAATCCTCCTACCTCAGCCTTGTGAGTAGCTGGGACTAGAGGCGTCCACCACCATGCCCGGCTAATTTTTTGTACTTTTTTGTAAAAACGGGGTTTCACCATGTTGGCCAGGCTGGTCTTGAACTCCAGAGCTCAAGCAATCTGTCCAGCTTGGCCTCCCAAAGTGCTGGGATTACAGGCATGAGCCCGCTCAGCCAACTGGTAAGTTTTTATACTGTTCTGAAAAAGGTGCATTTTAAAAGCCAGTGTGTTCATAGCATATAAAGCAAGTGTTTCTTAAGAAGCACTTATGGTGTAACGCTATCTCTACTAAAAACACACAAAAATTAGCTGGGCTTGGTGGTGTGTGCCTGTAGTCCCAGCTACTCAGGAGGCTGAGGCAGGAGAATCACTTGAACCTGGGAGGCAGAGTTTGCAGTAAGCCGAGATTGTGCCACTGCATTTCAGCCTGGGCAGCTGAGCAAGACTCTGTCTCAAAAAGAGAGAGAAAAAAAAGCAGTACTTATATGGGAAGTGACATAAAAGTCTCAACCAAAAAAACTCTTACAAGCCAAAAATTTAATGTAATAAAAAATGCTCCCAGGTAAGGCAAACTTCTAGATTTTACAAGTGCAGAGGGGTAACGGGGCAGCCCTGGGCCTCTACTGGCATGAGGTGCTCTAAGGAGAACAGGGGGAACCCTATTTTCTCTCATATACTCAGGCAGAAGTAAGTGAAAGAAGAAACTGAATCAGAGAAAATTCCTTTTTTTTCTTTTTTTTAAACAGAGTCTCACCCTGTCACCCACGCTGGAGTGCAGTGGCGTGATCTCGGCTCACTGCAACTTCGGCCTCCCAGTTCAAACGATTCTCATGCCTTAGCTCCCAAGTAACTGGGATTACAAGCATGCACCACCACCCCTGGCTAATTTTTGTATTTTTAGTAGAGACAGGGTTTTGTCATGTTGGCCAGGCTGGTCTCGAACTTGTGACTTCAGGTGATCTGCCCACATCAGCCTCCCAAAGTGCTGGGATTACAGGCGTGAGCCACTGTGCTTGGCCCAAAAGAAATTCTTACAGGAACAATTCAATTATTCTTATGATCTTGCTTAGGTGTGAACCACAAGGAAACGAAGGTTAAAATCAAATTATAAATTCAAATTCCGTGTTTCAGGTTTAAAATAGGAAATAGCCATCCAAATGAGATGAGAGAATGATTCCTGACAGCAGGAGAGACTCACTCACATCCTTCGCATCTGGAAGTTGCCCAGGCCCAGAAGAGAGACCCAGCCTGAAACCAGGCTCCATCCTTTCTCCATGGGATTCTCAAGTCCTGGCTGGGCCCCACCACCTGCTTGGCCAGTGAGGACTGGACAGTGTGACCAAGGTAGACAGACATCAGCTGTCATCAGTGACCAAGGAGAGTCCTTGTAGTGTGGTCAACAGAACACTTGTGGCAGCTTCAGTCACCATGTGTACCTGGCAGTCTGGCAGTCAGGGCAACCCCCTTCTGTGTGCCTTCCTCACTATGCCTGAGAGGGTGAGCCTGCCACCAGCTCACCCATGGTGTGGCTTGGCCAATGCATCTTTCTACCTCCCATACCCCCTAATTCTTTGTTCTCATTAGACATCTGTTCAGCGGAGAGGCCTGTGAAAACTGCACGCATCTTCACTGGTTTAAAAGATATTTCATTACGTGTTCAAGTTTAAAATCTGAAGTGTTTTAGAAAGAAACTGATCATCAATTTCCTAATAGGATTTTGTTATGCTTTTAACTTTATTTATGGGTCTAAAACTGTTCAATTCAGTAATGTGTGTTTATTATGTAACTAAAAGGGAAACACTTCTTCAAACTTTTGTTTTCACTTCACATACCTTTTCAGAAATACTCCTAAGTAGAAACTGAAGGAGAATTGTACTGTCAGTTAACCTTTGCTATTTTCTCCTATCGCTTATCCTAACAATACAAAATGGTACCACTATTAGATAAACAGATGCTAGGGCCAGAGGAACCAACAGGGCTGGGCTTCCTGCAAACAAACCAGCACCACGCAGGGTCTGCGGTCCTTCCAAGGTCGCAAACAGCACGTGGAATGCAACTCCTGCATTCTAAGACCTCTTCAGAAAGGCCTTTCCTGGCCTGTGAGATTACTTAGTGCTACTCAGGGGGAGCAGGGAAGGTGTCCCAGCCAGAACTCTCTCCATCACCTCCTTAAGGTGCTGTTGAAGAGATACGGATTTAGAGGTTAACTGGTTATTTGAGAGGGAAAATGCTCTGCAGGAATGATAGGTTTAAATACACTGCTTATCTTTTCATCCTTTCTTGAGGATTAAAATTTAAAAAGTGAGTTCATGGTGGGGGGTGGGAAAGGTCAGGGAAAGCAGGATGGAGGGGCCAGGCACCTGGGGAGCAGGGGCAGCATGAACCAAGAGTTTAGATCCCAGCAGAACCAGAATGGAAGCTTCCTAAGGGGCGGGACCACGTCTTCTTTACCTTTGCATCTCCACGTACAGGGCCCCACACAAAGTAGACACTCAGTGTCTGCTGACCTGAAGAAAAGTTTCCACAAGCCAACAGTCTCTGAGTATCTCATGCATCATTACTTCTCTGTCTCTTGCTGAAACCACTGTGAAAGGCACACCAGTTTCTACCATAACTTCAGGTGTCTTTTTTCTTCATCCTCCATTTGAATGTCAATTCCTATGGCAGGGACTCATTTGTCTGTGTTATGCTAGAGTAAATGTATGTAAGGAATGTGCATCCTGTTATGACACCTCTTCACTCAGTCATTTGTAACTTCTAGGCTGGATCATGCTATGATCATCTAATACATCATCTGATGTATTAATTCAACCTCTGGTTTAGCTGGGAATGAAAACAATGAAGAAAGAATGGAGGAAACTGAAAGCAGATCAGAGTGTCACTGTCATGGATGGGCAGGTGCAGCAGCTGCCTCAGCACTGCACTCCCTCTCCTGCCAGGCGTCCTCTTGGCTCACTCTCTTACTCTTATTTCCTCAAATTGCACCTTGGCAAGGAAGCCTGCTCTCACACCATCCATAACCCAGCAGACTCCTGCAATCACTCCCAACCCCAGCTCCCCTCGTCCAGCTCTCCTCCTTTCCAACAGCACTGATACTGTAACACACTGCGTAACTTAACCTGTTCATTGTCAGCTCCCCAAGCACCAAGACATGACTCCACCTGCGCCGAGAGCTTTGTTACTTATTCCCAGCACCAAGAGTCGTACCTGTCTGAGCAGGTACATAAGAAATATTTGATGAATGAATGAAACAGTGAAAAGAAGACATAAACTTAATCCAAAAAGCCTAACCAGAAATGTTTTTAGCAACAGATGTAAAACTCATAAATTCTTTAGAAGGTGGAAGTTAAGGGAAGGAAACAAAAGCTTCACAGCTTTATATTCTCACAAAATACTCCTACTTTGGGTAAAGAGAAAGGTGCTTGGCTTTAGTTTTACTCTGGGAATCCTGCCCCTCTGCCACAGTCAGCTCTCATTTGGGCCACACCAGGAAAAGCAAGCCTTCCACATATCTTGTTCTTTGGAATAGAAGAAATGAACCGTCAATGAAGAGATACTGAGTGCAAGAGAGACAAACAAGAGACACAGAACAGCTGGTTTAAGTTTTCCTTTGTTCACAGAGGTGCAGACTGGTGGAAAATGCTTTGCCTGCCCCTTACCCTGGGATCTGGGGCAGCTGTGTCGCCTCTTAAGAGCCTATATGTCTTCAGAAGTGGGGAAAATAACCTACTGCATGAGGTTTTCGTGGACATCCAGTAGGACAGTAGTGACAAAACCCCCAGCATAGATGGGCCAGGTGCCACATCACCAGGATGACCCCGGACCCCACCCTCTACTCATCACAGCCTTCCTGTCCCTCCAGACCTGCCGACCTCCACAGCACAGTGACCTCCTCTCCTGAGTGGACTGAAATTCCTTGAAGACAGCAAGTAAGCCTTCTGTGTATTTTCTGTGCCTCAAGCTGCTTGGTACTAAGTTGGCAACCAAGGAAACGACAAGAACATTTTCACCACAAATATATGTACCGACACCAAGGCCCACTGTGCTGCATCTGTGCTGCTCTCAACCTTACGGTTTATCCTCCACAGACGGAGAGATAACTGTTCACAGCCACCCTGCGTACATCAGCAGTTTCAAATCTCTTTACCCTTGATTCTGCTGTTCCTTCTGCCTGGATTGCCCTGCCTCCTTCCTCCTATCCCCGACACTCAGGTATGCTCAAGAAGCCTTCCTCAACCGTCACAGGCTGGGAGGGTTCTCCTGCAGTTTCCCACAGCATTCTGTGCTCCCCTCCACCATTCTACCTACATCACCTAAAACTGCATTGGTCAAATGCCCTGAAAGATAAAGAACCAACTAGGTAGATTACAGTATAGCCAATCAATGGAATAGTATGCAGAAAATAAAAAAAGAAAGGGTGATTACAATAAAGCATCATTTCAGTAAAAAGACAAAATAGGAAGAAATACATGTGAATATTTGTTTATATGTGCAAAAAATGTCCTTGGAGAATACATCAGGACTCACACTAGTGGCTACTGCTGGGGAGGGAGCCTTTCACTGTGTGTGAATGTATACACTTGCAACTTATGGATTTGAACCATATGAATAAACTACCTATTTCAATTAAAATTAGTAACATGCCACAAGTTGGTCATCTTCATTATACTGAATTCTGTGTGGGCAAGGACAAAGTCTTACTCATCCAAGACACCTACTTTAGCAATAGGCATGTAAGCAGGTATTCAATAAATGCTGAACTGAACTAAACTTTTTAAAATAATCATATTCTTTTGATGCTCTTAGACACCAGTTCTATTAAAAATCCTACATTTTCATCATCTTGGTCTCAAATAGATGGGGTTCTACTGATCTTTAAACAGGCCTCCCAGATTGCTTTCTGAAAAGACTGGACTGACTCAGGAAAAGGGTTGGAAGAACACCCTTTAAAAACCACCTTACAACCTTGACCAAGCAATGTGACGGAACAGAAAGATAAAGTTCTAGTGCCAGGCTGGCCCCAAACTGTCCCTTCAGGTCACTCTCTCAGTGTCCTCCGTATCTCAGATCTAACCAATGAAGTAAGCTTGAACCCAGCTTCTAAACAATAACAACGCCGCCCAGAACGCTACCCAGAGAGCAGTGCCGACAACACCTAAACTATCAGACAATCCCAAAATGTCCTCTGGGAATTTTTTTGGCAGCTAAGACCTTTCAAGGAAACCCAGAATTCTGATAACACATAAATACATCAACATACTAGAAAGCGAAGGAATATGGTAGTGGTATGATGTAGAATCTTGCTTCTTTCCTCTTTTTCTTTCTTCCCAATCTGGAACCAGGTGAAATACAAAGTACATAAAGGAATATTTAAGGATGAAAAATGGGGCAATAAACAAACAGATAAAGGCTAACAACATTATTGTGTTTTTTCTTAGCAGTGTTTCAGTGGGATTAAATTCATTCTCTATGGATCTCTAGGCCAGCTGATTAGAGGAATGACTCTCAAGTCACTTGGGGGCTTCCTATAATCACAGGCAAGCAGCCCCACACCTGGGCACTCTCATGCGAGAAATGAATAAGGCATGGTCCACGGCCACAAAGAGCTTATCGTCCAGGATATAAATAACTCATGAGAAATGGAAAATGCAATCAAAAAGAGGCATAAAGTGCATGAAAATTAAGAGAGTGGAGAGATTAATTCTGATGCAGAGTGGGGCTGGAGCTGGGGAGAGAGGGAATTAGGGAAAGTGTCAGTGAAGGAGGTGGCATAGGAAATGAGTCTCAAGGTATGAGTAGGATTTAGATGTGCAATGGTGGGTAGGGTATACAGGACAATTGGGAGGAAGGGCAATACTCATCACTCTCTGGCCACAGGTGGCATGACTTCTAAACACCTCCAACTCTTTTTTTTTTTTTTTAAATAAGCTGGGCTGGGCGTGGTAGCTAAGGACTTTAATCCCAACACTTTGGGAGGCCAAGGCAGGTGGATCACTTGAAGTCAGGAGTTTGAGACCAGCCTGGCCAACATGGTGAAACCCCGTCTGCCCTAACAATACAAACAATTAGCTGGGCGTGGTGGTGTGTGCCTTTAATCCCAGCTACTTGGGAGGCTGAGGGAGGAGAATCGCTTGAAGCCAGGAGGTGGAGGTTGCAGTGAGCTGAGATCACGCCACTGCACTACAACCTGGGTGACAGAGGGAGACTCCGTCCCCAAAACAAAACAAAACAAAAACAAAACCAAACAAAAAATTAAATAAGCTGTTTCTGGAGAAAGGCCAGGCACTCATATTTCAAGAACTATTGAAAAGCAGGCAGACTGCTATGCTTTTTTTGTGCAACAGGTTATTGTCTTAAGTGTTAGTTCTTGTACAATCCATTTAACCTCAAACCACTTCTTGGCAATAGAGTGGAGGGGTACAATGACTCTTATTAACGAAACTTAGTATTATCCTCATTCCATAGCCTTAGCATATAATCCACACAGCTTCTGGAATATATACTTTGCATAAAGCAAGATACATCTACATAGGTTCTGTAGAAGCAACTGTGTTGCATTTGGGCTGTGTGTGAATTTCTACATGTACCACAACGTATTTTTGAGAATTCCACACAGATATAACTTGTTTTATATGTAAAACACAAGTTTTGATAAAGTGATCAACTTCTAGGAGTCACTTAGACAGGTTTGCTACACTTTAATAGCAGCCACTTCCTGATTCATCAACTTTGAATGTTGGAACACTTGCATGTTAGGTTTATGCTTTAAGCATAATACATGCAAATTAAGACAACACATAGAAATCTTACATCCTGTGATTTTTAAAAAGCTTTCTCTCTGCAGAAAAAGCCAACTGCCTAGTTCAAACTTACAAATATCAAATCAATTTTAAGTCCTTACACATAAAGTTAGAACAATTTAAGTTTTAAGACATTTAAGCTAATTTCCCAATAATTTAACTCTTTCATTGCCTGACGTGGCTGTTCTTGGGTTAAACCCTGATCAAATCCTTCTGTCAAATACCAACATGCAGACACATACCTCTTCCAGCTGTCCCGAAGAAACCGGATTATCTTCATAAGCAGGAAACTGACAACCTGCTTTGCAACCACAAAAATTATTAATTTCTTCCTCGCATTGTGCCATTATTTTACAATTTGCTTCTGGGCTTTCTAAATCTATTTCCAGGGACTCATTCATGCTACATTCCAAACACTGATTTTGCTTTCCTACTGACAGAATCCCAGTTGATTCCTCCTGGGAATCCAATGATGTCTGAGCACTCTTTTCCATCCCAGATTTTTTTAACCTGGGAAGGAATTTTCCAGACTCAAGCTCTGATTTTCCATAGTAATGGCCTTCTTTCTCTGCATCTTCCTCCAGAGGTTTGAGATCTGCCTGCGGATCTTCAAATATATCAACTTGAGAAGGAATGGGAATATTTGCTTCATCTTTCTCAGATTCAAACTCTGACTCGCTTCCTCCTCCTGGGGACAGTTCGGATGCAGAAATTGGGCGAAAGTGAGTCCGAGGAGAGATCCGAATAGCCCTGTATTGTGTTCTGTCAACACCACATATCCTGGGGTGAAACACTTCACTGTCTGAATCAGAACAGAGAATTGATTTCGGTTTAAAACTGGGGCTGAAAGATGCAATCCCTTCAGGTTCAAATGAGCATTCTACATGAAGAACTTGTGAAAATGGATTGCTTAAGTCAAAGGAAGAAAATGAGTATTCAAGCCCAGGATCTTCGACTTGAAAGTTGCTACAAGCTCCTAGTAAGTCTTCATGGAAGATAAAAGAAAATCCCTTATTTAATCCATTTTCCCCACTCTTCGGCTGATCATTCTGTTCAAATGACACGAAGGGTTTCCATAACTGCCTGTGCCCAGGGGCAAAACTGTTTCCTGGGGTCATAAAGACATCTGTACCAGCTATTGTCACTACATCAGAAGCTGCACACTGTAACAGGCTTCCTTTTGTGTGACTAGGTGGTACGACTGCCCATTCCCCATCACTGCTAAAGGTTTTGAGTTCTCCATAAACTCCTCCAAGAATGAATGTGTTCTCTTTATCTTGGGCTACATCCCAGGGTTTAGAGGGTGTTGTATAATCACCACCATCCACGTTTGATAGCTCACTAGAAGCAAATGCTCTTTTCTCCAGGCTTTCTTTCTGTCCCTCCCACAGATGGTACTCTGACCTTCGCACAACCTTGTCAGGCTCCTGAAGGGTCTCCAGTTCAGCTTCAGCATCTAGACAGCAGCAGTAGTTATTTACATCTGCCGAAAACAACTCGGCATCAGTTCTTTCTATTTCTACTGTAGCCACAGAATTTGTGTCTGCCATCTTTGTCCAAATGTCTTTAATAACCCCTGAGCTGTAGCCATCTCCATGTGGATTTTCATTACGTACTTGTGTAGTTTCAAAGTTTTTGTTTTCTGTTTTTTGTTCTAGCTGAATACCACAGACAGATTCTAGTTTAGATGTTTTTTTGAAGACTAACGTAGGAATTTCACCTAAAGTTCTATTGTTTTGCTGGCAAGTTTCATCTTGCAAAAAATCTAGAAGTTCTTCATCTACATAATTTGACGAGACTCTAGGAACTACATAATTAATATCTTCGGCATTAAACTGTGTGGATTCTTCAAATTGAATATTTAATGTTTCATTGTCTGAACGTGTTTCTTCTGAATGGGACCATGGACTACAAGTTCTTGTTGAAAGATTAGAACAGTGTTCATTTTCTTCAAAGGCACTATTTTTGGTCCATATTAGCAATCTAGACTGTGTTTTCCCAAGCATATTAGCACTAGAATCTGTATTTTCATTTCCCAAGTTGAGTGTTTCAAAAGAAAATGGTAAAACAGAATTACTGCATTGCACTTCAAACACTGAAAAACAAGAGTTTATACCAGATCCTTCATTAATATCTGAAAAGAGCTCTTGATTGCCAGCAAGCAGGTGTGAATTGAGCACTGTGCCGTCTAAGATGGGAGAGAGTCTAACTGGAGAGTCTCCTCCAAAACTCTCCCCATCAGCATCACCGGAACTGGATGAACAGCACTCCCAAAACTGAGCCAGATTGCCAAGGTCCTGCAGGAATAAGCCCTCAGCACCCACGGAGCTGGTAGAATCTGTCCATATTGCACGTTCCCCTTGCAACTCCATACCATCTAACACTATGCAACATTCTGCCTCAAAATCTGTGTTCTCTTTGCTTTTTTGTCGAATCATATTCAAAATCCGACTTTCTCCTTGCATTGTTTCTGAGGCACCAGGATCCAACATGGATTGATCAATATCCACTTCATAGAAGTGTGTTAATTCTGATAGATGAATATCATCCAGGTATTTATTGTCCTCTGGTAGAGAACATAATGAGGTCCCAGTGAGGTCAATATCCTCATTCATAACTGCAGGCATTTCTACAAAATGACCATCAATGAAAGTACCTGCTGCGAGGTATGTTTTATGAAGATTATTGTTGCTGATACAAAGACCATGTACTGATTCAGACAATTCTTCCACTGCCTCTGATGTCAGATCACTTGTATCTTGTCTGTTTCGGTATGTGGTCTCTAGTTTACTTTTTCTGCTCAGAGGAACAAAATATTCAGCAATGGGCTCGGTGTACCACAAGGGTTCCTCTTTGTATTCTGTGTCATTTCTGTTCTCCATGTATAGGTCTTTCCCTTCAGTGCTCCCAGGATCTTTTCTCCCTATTTCTTTTAAAGGTCTCTTACCCCGCTTGCACAGCTGTTTGACAGAACCACTGCTGCTACTGCTGCTGCTTCCAGCATGAACGTTTCTTTCAGCCTTTTCACCATGCTTCAGCGAAAGCCTGCTTTGCCCGTTCCGCCCTTTTTTGTTTCGAATCTCTCGGGCCTTGTGTCTTACTTTAACATACTTCGTGGATGCTTTTAATTCTCCCTGATTCCCACTGGAACTTGAGCCTGCTTCACTGGAGCCAGAAGACCATGAGCGAGGGCGAATCTTTCCTTCAGGTTTATGTCGGATCTGCTTCTTGTACAAAGCAGGCTTTTCTTCAATTGTGCCATTACTAAATTTGTTTTCTTTCTCATTTTTGCTTTTGCCCTGGGTTTTCTCATGCACAGTGGTGGGTACTTCACTGCTTCTTTCCTTGGTGACTTCACTTTCACTGTTGCAGTCCTTAGGAGAGGAAGTGTCTGTGCTAGCTGGTGGGGCTGTGGATGATGATGACGAGCTAGAGTAAGAACAGACTTTAGACTTGTTCCACACAGTCATGATTTCTTGCAGGCAAACTGGTTTCTCAGAAAGTGGTGGAAATGCTTCATAGTACCTGAAAAACAGAATAAAGAGTTCAAAAAATGAGTATGCAGATTTTTTACATACAGTAAAACAACATTACCAGCCAGAAGAATGGGATATTTCATTTTAGTAGTGTCAACATTCACATCGTCCAAGAATCATTCACATTACAATAATTACAAAGCATATATTTTTGTATAGTAAAGTACAAAACTAGTCCCATTAGTCCCATGCATCAAGCACCACTTTGCTCAGCACTGTGATAAGCACCGTAAGAATACTGAGAAAATATGTAAGAAGCCAGTTTTTATCTTCCCAGTTTGCATTGTAATTAAGAAGTGAAAAAGGGCAAAGTGTAGCAGAAGGAAAGTAGTGTCTTCAGTCAGCAGAGTCTGAAGCGGAGTCTCAGCTAAGTCACTCCTGCTTGCAGCTTTAAGCTCATTATCGGCTGTTCCGGACTATTTCCTCAACTGCAAAATGGTGGTATGACTTACCTCCCAAAGCTGTTGTGAGCACTGAAAATATATGCATTTGACAAGCTCCACAGCAAATCAATCAACACTATGAGCTCTAAAGCCACGTTCTCTGAGGTCAAATCAGTCAACAGTATGAGCTCTAAAGCCACGTTCTCTGAGGTCAAATCCTGGCTCTGCCTACTTCCTAGCTGTGTGACCTTAGGCATGTTACTTAACCTCTCCAGAGCTCAGCGTCCTCACCTACAAAATAGAGCTAGTAATATTCATCTCACAGAGTTGTGAGGAGTAAAGGAATTAATGTGCAAAATGAGTCAGAACAGCACCTTCTTAAGTAACCGCTAGCATACTGCCTGGTATTTAAGCAGGCCCTCACAAATGGCAGGAATAATCACATTCAAGAATTCAAAAAGAGGATGCTGGTGAGGACTAGAACAATTAGATAAAATGGGCCACAACTGAGCCTTGAAATTCCAGATTTATTTCACAAGTTTAGTAAAATTCCACAAGTTTGGTGAGTACTACTTGTGGGGCCTGAGACCCTACGTGAGGACATGAAGACACACGTTATGCTCATGGAATGGAAAACTAATTACAGCAGTGATTACTAGAAATGCGGGGTAGGAAAACCAGGGAGGCTGGTTTCAGTGGGTTTGAAAACGAGAAAGTGGTTTTGATTTTCTAGGAAACTGGGAGCCACTGACGATTTCAGAGCAGAACAGATTGGGAAAGGAAGAATTTAAACTCACACTGGCTATGGAAGGGACTGCTGTTTCAGAGACAATGTTCAAGGTCACAAATGAAGTGGTAAAAGGCCATGTTTTCCAAGGGCCTGGACTTGATTCTCTTTCTCAATGTCAGAGTTGACCAACGGAAATATATTTTCAGCTTCATATATAATTTTAAGTGTTCTAGCAGTCACATTAAAAATGTAAGAAGAAATGGGTGACATCTACTCTAGTAATATATTTTATTTAACTCCTGATATTGTCATTTCAACATGTAATCAATGTTTTAAAATGTTTAATCCTTTACTTTTTTTTTAATATTAAGCCTTTGAAATCCAATGAGAATTTACACCGACAGCACATCACAGTTTGAGCCAGCTACATTTCAAGTGCTCAGTAGTCATACATGGCTTGCAGCTACTGTGCTAGACGATATAGGTCTATGCAAACCAATGAAATGCTGTTTTTCTTAGGTTTCAGAGGTTCAGAAAATTAAAATAAAATGTATAATAAGGAAGTCTGCTTGTAATGCAGATTTTTTTAAGAGCAGGTTTGGCAGGTCAAGGATTTGCCTATGTTCCCTTTGCAGTAAACAGTGGGAACTCAGTGTTCTTGCTTGCAAACATGGATAATCATTTCTTTCTTTCTTTCTTTCTTTTTTTTTTTTTTTTTTTTTTTAGTAAGACAGTCTCACTTTGTCACCCACGCTGGAGAGCAATGGCATGATCTCAGTTCATTGCAACCTCTGCCTCCCAGGTTCCAGCAATTCTCCTGCCTCAATTCTCCTGCCTCAGCCTCCCGAGTAGCTGGGATTACAGGCACGGACCACCACGCTCGGCTAATTTTTGTATTTTTGAGACAGAGTTTCAGCATGTTGACCAGGCTGGTCTCAAACTCCTGACCTCAGGTGATCCACCTACCCTGGCCTCCCAAAGTGTTGGGATTACAGGCATGAACCACTGCACCGGGCTGATAATCATAATTTCTTACAGCTGTCTCAAAGGGCTGTACATGCATAGACTTAGCAAATAATAACCTTCGTTGTTTTACTCATTCATTTCACAAATATTTACTGAATATGCACACCAAGGACAGAACCATCTTACTCACTTTTGAATTCTCCATGTCAAGCAAATAAGCGCTGGATAAATGTTTCTTAAATTATACACAATGAAACTAAACAAGATGACAAACAAAAAAATGGAAAGCATGTAGCAGTTATTCATTTGATTTTAACAAATGCACACTTTATTACTGAATACAATCTTACATACATTTCCACTTGATCCTTTGCTGGAGGGGATAATTCTGCCTCTGGAGAGGGAGACCCCTCTAACTTTTTGTGAGTCTTCTCTTCTGTTATGAAACAAAAAGGCAGAGAGATGTGTCTTATATCTAGTTAATAAATGCCCACCTTTCTTCAGAGTCTCTCAACTGATTTTAATAAGAATATCCGTGCTTAAAAGGCAGGCTCTATACCAATCTGTCTTTTTAATAAAAATCTGTTTTTTCAGTGTGCCAGAGGGAATTCTCTGATTAAACCACATTAGCATTAGGCCAAGAGGTGAGAGTTGTTCATCTCGTCACTGATGCAGTGCTCTAGAGGCACTTAATTAAGAGACTGAAGTCCCCTGTGTACTTATTAATTAGACCAGAAGGACAGAACATCTGTTTAGATTCCAAAAATATTTTCCCACAAAATTCTATACTTATAGACTTTACATTGACTCATCTTGACTAAAACTGATCTGCAAAGAATATTCTTTATTACAATTTGCTTTATTACTTAACATGCAGGTGAGCAAGAGCTATTTCAACTAAAATAGGAAAAAGGGCTATCCCTTTAGGTTAGCCTACGATGCTGCCTTCGTTTACAAATAAACTGTGCCCTTTAAGAGGCAGGCTCAAGGCTTGGTGCGCAGCGAAAGGACCACGAAGAGGGCAAGGAAACAAAGATCCTTATTCTAAATATGAAGGTCTCATTCTTAGGGACTGCAGAAAAGTTAGAAAAAGTATGAGGAGGGTTCATATATCAAAACGACTAAATAGGCTTGCCAAGTCTGTGTTTCCAAAAAAAGTTGAGTCAAAACTAAGTCCCTTCCAAACCTGAAGTAATTCGTGTCAACATCTTTAGCGGTCTTAACATTAATAGGCAAGGAAAGAGAAAATTTTGTTCCTGATTTCTGAGCTTCAACTTGAAGACAAAAAAAAGAAAAACAACAACAAACACCCATGAAGTGTTTCCTATCTCTGAGGGCCCCTGTGGACGAAGTCCCTCCCTTGGTCTCAGAAAACTCTGTGAGTGACTGCTGGGACTCACACAAGCCACTAACAGAGCTGCAGATGGAGCATGATGCTGGCCTAGTGACACATACTGAACACAAACGCTTTGTTCTTGTTGTTTTCTCTTCTGATCAATTCTAAGATTTCCCCCAATCCAGATTCCTCAGGGACCTAATCCTGGCATGTGTGCCCACAGTGCTTTTGACCTCACCTTGCTTACTCTGAAGGTCTTTCAGTCTGGAGCAAAGCTCCTCCACTAAAGTCTCGATACCAGAGCTCTGCATGACAACAAAAAAACACATTAGGTTACAGTCAGGTATGTAAAAAGCAGGTATTTGTATATCTTTGTTTTAATACATAGGTTTTATAAATCATCCATGTTCCAAATAAATATATCACCAATATTAAAAATTATAGGTTTGGAGATACAAATTAGTATACATGCTTGTTACTAATAAAACATATTAGATAAAACTCAGTGATAAAATGTGAACATATTCATGTGCTTCCCAGAATAGCTTGTTTTCCAAAGGTGTGTCATCTTGTTCACGAGGCAGATTTAAGCGCCTAAAGTCCATCATATGACCAAAAGTCAGTCCCATCAAAAAGAGTATTAAATCTTTATATGAGCAAGGTCTTGTATGAGACTTAAAGGAAAATCATAAAACTTCATCTTAGTTCTCTAGGAGCTCAGACTCTCAAAAAAACAAGACAATTTTTTCTTCCTGTTTTAAAGAAACATGAACACTCATGATTGCAAGAACAACAAAAGTCCAGAAAACTAAGCCAATGTTGCGAGTGTGAAAGCTCTGTCTTCCTTTCAGCATCTGGACCAGATTATCAACTTCTATACAAAGCCTGGGAGTTCAAAATTTAAGGAGAGTGCGTAGAAGAGTCTGGAATTGGGAGGGTAAAAATAAGAGTCAACCTTTAAAGAAAAATCAATGTTGAAAACAGGCACAAGCAAATAATCTCCTATGTAGACTTTAACTTTTAAGATTCTCAATTTGTCACAGGAATAATTTTTTTTTTTTTTTACAATGGACAAAAAAGTGAACGCATTTCTCACTGATTTATTCAGTGACCAAAGTCCTATTTAAGCTGGAATCAAGTCTTTTTTGGTGGACATAACCCAAACTGATGCACATGACAGAGTTCTGCTAAGCCAGTGCCCTCACTAGGCCTTTACGGGCTAAAAATAGAACTTTACCCCATTCACTTAACTCAAAATGACTCAGCACAAATATTAAAGATATCCTAAATAAGAAATCCCCCAGTTACACAGTTTGAGTAGCATGAAACAGATTACAATGAAAACAGTTAATTATAAACATCCAGAGTTACATTCTGTCCACATCATACCACAGCTTTTAAAAGGAAGATAGAAAAATAGGCCAGACAAGAGCTGCCCTTTCCTTTAAAAACTCTTAAAAACCATGGCAGATATTAGTCATAAACACTGCTCAACCACACACAGTTCCACCAGAAAGCATCTGCTTACCATAATGCTCAAGGTGTGACAAGGACGGCAATTATATTCCATTTCCTTCAGATCGTGAAACCAACACCAGTGTCAGCTGACACACTGCATACTGTTCTGTACAGCAAGCCTATGTCACTAGGTTTTTAAACTTAGGGCTAGTCTCTAATGCAGAAGAACACTGAACCTCTAGGGATCCCTTATTAAACGTCTTCCAATACTCTAACATGGGGTCCTATTTAATCAGAATGGTCATTACAACCTCGTGACTATACAATTTTTCATGCTTTGTCTTAGAAATTATTTACATATATATCCACTTATTAATATACGAGTAAATATGTATACTATATATGTGATATATTTGCTGTCATATATAAACATATATTTTTTTTGCTTTCACGTGTAAACAGCAAAATAAACTAAGATCCTACTCCTTACTCTGTGTGTAAATGCAAGCTCTACCAACCAGATTTTTGTGTTACTTTCTTAACTACCTGCAGCATCTCATATATTTTTAAAAAATCATCCAGGTGCAGTGGCTCATGCCTGTAATCCCAGCACTTTGGGAGGTCAAGGCAGGCAGATCACTTGAGGTCAGGAGTTAAGGACTAGCCTGGCAAACATAGTAAAACCCCGTCTCAACTAAAAATACAAAAAACTAGCTGGGTGTGCTGGCAGGCACCTGTAAACCCAGCTACTTGGGAGACTGAGGCAGGAGAATTTCTTGTACCTAGGAGGCGGAAGTTGCAGTGACCTGAGGTCTCGCCACTGCACTCCAGCCTGGGGGACAGAGCAAGACTCCATCTTAAAAAAAAAAAAAAATCAGCGGCCGGGCGCGGTGGCTCA